ATGACCTGAGCCGAAGGCAGTCGCTCAATCAACTGAGCCACCCAGGCGCCCCTCAAGAATTCTTTCTTGGCCGTCAGCTTCGAACCTTAACGTCTTTCCTACATCAGCCAGGGCCTGGGGGGGGGGGCGGGGCGGTGAGGCTGACCCCGACCTGCCCCAATTTGCTGGGCCTAGCAAGCCTTTCATGGTCCCAGAGTAAGTCGCTCAGGAGGCCTACTATGTTAGTGGGTGTTTGGCTCTCTGTCTCCTAGAGGATGGCTTCCATCTTCTCTAGTGTTCATTGGGAGTGACATGGAGAGGACTCAGCACAGATGCTGGCCTGGCTTAGCCCCAGCTGGCCAGAGAGATGCCAGGCTTCCCACAATCCTCATCTTGGGCCAAGATGTTCACTCAGGGCCACCCAAAGTGGACCACTAGCTGGGCCGCGGGAGCACATGAGGCCACTGGCCAGGGTCTGAAGGAAGGACAGGAACTGGGTCTTGTCGCCAAGGCTGGCAGGGGTGAGTGAGTAACTGACCTGGGCAGGGAGGGAAGGAGTGAGAACAAGGGAGGCGTGGAGTGGGGGCTCAGGCACAGGCTGCTTCTCAGGTTTACATGAGCCAGGACAGAGCTTGGGGACTGACCCACCCGAGTTCCGTCACATTCCATGGACAGCCTCAGTCCTGGGCCAGTGGCGGGGTGGCAGTCACCCTACTTAGCAGAGTCTGGGACGTGGTCACCTGGTAATGGCCCTCCACCTGGTCTAAAGGGTTAACCTGCTTCAAGCTTATGCACCTCTCGCTTTCTGACCTAAGTCAGAAAGCTAACACGCCGCCTTCTCCATCAACTCCTGAAGGCAAAAGCTGAGAGTGACCTGGAAAACCCACCAGGAGTTCAGTTTCCCCATGTATTCTGGGCCCTCCATACAACTCTTACTTGCCCTTGATCTGGTCTCCTCCACAAGAGACTTCCTTAGAGGAGTGGGGATAGGTCCAAGTCAGGCCCCACAGCACAGAGAAAAGTCAATAAAACAAGTCAACACAAAAATAATCTAAAAAGTAAAAGGTGCCAGGAAGAACTAAGCAGAGGGGACTTGAGAGAGCTCTCGGGGCTGCTTCAGCTGACGTGGTCAGGGAAGCCTCTCTGAGGAGCTGATGTCAGAGCGGAGGCCCCATCTGCCATCTGGGGCAAGGATGTTCTGGACAAGGCAAAGACTCATCCATGTTGTAATTCAGGGTCCGTGAACTACATCCTGAAGGCAAAATACTGCCTACTTTGATAAATAATGTTTTATTGGAGGGGTGCCTGGCTAGCTGGCTCAGTCAGTAGAGCATGCAACTCTCAATCTCAGGGTCATGAGGTCAATCCTACATAAAGAAAAAAAAAAGTTTTACTGGAACACAGCCAACCCTGTCTTTCTGAGCATTGTTTATGACTGCTTTCGAGCTACAACAGCACAGCTGAGTAGCTGTGATAGAGACCATATGGCCAACAAAACCAAAAATATTCACTATTTGGCCCTTTGCAGAACAAGTGTTCTGGCTTCTGTTGTAGACGACGTTTTTTCACTGGTGTAGAATATCGCACTATGTGAACAGAGCACAACGCACCCCTCCTTCTCCAATGAGTGTTTGGCTTTTCTGACAGTGGTGCCTGAGCATCCCTAAGTCGGCAGACGCTAGGTCCCAGGGTGTGCAGATGGTCAACTGAACTAGAAGATGCCAAATGTTTTCCAAAACTCAAATATCTTCAAATATTTCCCACAAAAAGTTTTAATATTTTGGGGCGCCTGGGTGGCTCAGTTGGTTAAGCGACTGCCTTCGGCTCAGGTCATGATCCTGGAGTCCCGGGATCGGGTCCCGCATTGGGCTCCTTGCTCAGCGAGGAGTCTGCTTCTCCCTCTGACCCTCCCCCCCTCATGCTCTCTCTCTCTCTCTCATTCTCTCTCTCTCAAATAAATAAATAAAATCTTTAAAAAAAAAAAAAAGTTTTAATATTTTGTGTTTGGCTTCAAGTCCCGGATTCATCTGGAGTTGATTTTTGAGTGTGATATGGCCACACCAGATCTTCCTACAACCCAAACAGTTCTGCTTCTTTTTAATGATATTTATTGATGTATAATTCACACAGCATATAACTCAACCATTTAAAGTGTGTAGTTCAGTGCTTTTTAGCATATTCACAGGCTTTTGCAACTATCACCACTAATTCCAGAACATTTTCATTACCCTAAAAAGAAACCCCATGCCTGTTGGTGCACTCTGCAGTCCTCCTCCTTCCAACCCCTGGCAATCACAACAGTACAGCTTCTAGCTAACTTACGTAGTGATCTACCTCAGCGTCATTTGGGACAAAAGTTTCTGCTGCTTACAAAATGTTTGGAAACCTGTGTCTGGTACCAGACTGCCTCCCAGTGGATCTAGCATTCAAGCTGCCTAATGATGATGATGCCTTTCACTCTGGCTCTAGAAACAAACTAAGTGAATGTTCTCTCAAGGGCAATTTCCTGAGGTGCGTTGCAGAGTTATAAATGCATAAATAAGTCCAAAGGTTCAGGCCAATTTCAGCTACCAAGAAAATGAGCCAGGGAACTCATGTCACTGTAAGTGCATAACTTGCAAGAAGGAGAATGATGAGCCCTCAGCACTTGGATTTTATTGTCCCATCTGTGGCTTCTGCACACAGCAAGCACCTGCTTGAATACAACACTCCAGGGACCAGCGTCCGGCAGGAGATGAGACAGAGGCCCAGCCCTGACCACACAGCTAAGTAGCCCCTCTTGTCACTCCTGAGACTTTATATTTCCATGCCTACTTTTATCTTTTCTAAGGCACTCATACTTCCAGCAAGCATCTGCCTTACTTGTTTACAGGGGCATAAACTGTGGGCCCTCCAAGGTCAAAGCCACATCAGTCCTGCTCACTGATGTGCTCCCCTCACTCCCCACCTAAACAGCACCTGGTAGGCACTGCTGTCCAGCAGAAATGGCATTCAGTCCAAAGCTCCTGGAGGTGGGGTTCCCATCTCCTTTGTTAGGTCCCCAATCCCACTCACATCCTCCTGCTACTGCATCTCAGCACTGGGCAGCTACAGCCACCCTGAGCCCAGTCCCAGAGCTGTGAAACCCCCTTGAATCATTACCTTGCCCCCAATATGAATTTCAGATAAATAATAACTTTTTAGTATAAGTATATTCCAAAAATACTACTGGAATGTGCTTATACTAAAATATAGCATTAGTATTTAGAAGAGTATTTGGTATTAGAATTTGGTTTAAGTATGTCCCAAATAGGGGCGCCTGGGTGGCTCAGTCGTTAAGCGTCCGCCTTCGGCTCAGGTCATGATCTCAGGGTCCTGGAATCGAGCCCTGCATCGGGCTCCCTGCTCACGGGAAGCCTGCTTCTCCCTCTCGCGCTCCCCCTGCTTGTGTTCCCTCTCTCGCTGTGTCTCTCTCTGTCAAATAAATAAACTCTTAAAAAATATATATGTCCCAAATATACTATTAGAACAAATAATAATAAGATACACTGTTCGTAATTAACATAGTATTTAGTATTATTATTTAGTATATCCAAAATATACTATTGGGACATATTTATACTAAAAAATTATTCATGTGAAATTCAAATTTAACTAGGACTTGTCCTATATTTTTATTTGCTAAATTTGGCAATCCTATTCTGACACATACATATATCAAAAATTAGTTATACTAAATGTAGTATTAGTAAAAAGATTTTAAAATATAATAAATATGGGACACACTTATACTAAAAAAGTATTTATTGTTTACCTGGAATTTAAATTCAGGTGGGCATCCTGCATTTTTATTTACCAAATCTGGCACCCTACTGTGGGACATAGCTACACCGAAAATTACGTATACCACTGCATATTTTCCAGGTTTTAAAAAATACACTAAATGTGAAACACTAATACTAAAAAACATCGTTGTTATCTGACATTCGAGTCCAACTGTGCCTCTTGTATTACTTATTTGCGAAATCTGGCAATCCTATACTGGCACATATTCTACTAAAACAGACATACTTTATTTTTTATTTATTTATTTATTTTTTTAAAAAGATTTTATTTATTTATTTGCGAGAGAGAGAATGAAAGACAGAGAGCACGAGAGGGAAGAGGGTCAGAGGGAGAAGCAAACCCCCGCTGAGCAGGGAGCCCGATGCGGGACTCGATCCCGGGACTCCGGGATCGTGACCTGAGCCGAAGGTAGTCGCTTAACGGCTGAGCCACCCAGGCGCCCTAAAACAGACATGTTTTAAAAGCATCTTAACACACGAAACGTGAGACACTCCTACAGTGAAGCCAACAAACCACCGCGTTGATTAAACGCACTTTCTGGCTTCCGTCCGGCCGGGATGCTGCGGTGAGGGAGCCCGACCGCCTCGCTCAGGCAGCCCCGCCCGTCCTCCCCCCGCCGCCGCCGCCCTCACCTCACTCGGACGCGGCGCGCCCCGTCGCCATGGCGCCCGGATCCGTCCTGGGTAACTCCGGGGGCACTGCGAGGGCCAAGATGCCCGTTCCGGGCGGCTTCCCATTGGCCCGCGCAGCCCGGGGCGTTACTACTCCGTCCCCCGCCGGGGACGACTCTGCGCGCCTCTACGGGCCAATGGCGGCCGCCCGCAGCGCGCGGGGTTCTGGGAGTTGTAGTCCGCGCGGCGGCGGCCCGGCTCGCTC